TGCTGATTTTTTGCCACAACTGCAAATAGCTTGCCAAATCAAGACTTTTTTTAGCAAACTTGTCGTGTTTTATGTATTTAAATTTCTTATCTGCTTTTCCTCTATTATATTTGGTAATAAAATAGACGGCACCAGGAATTATATTTTTGTCTATTATGTTTGGCAATTTAATAGACGGTACCAGGAATTTGCTGATGATCGTACTTGATATAAGTTTCATCGTCTTCAATAATACAGAAATTTTTAGAAATAAAATTGTCATACAACTTTCTGCAGCGGGTTTTTGTTGAGTTACAGATCGGTTGGGCACTTTTTGTGCTTTGAAAGAATGAAAACCATGTTTATTTCGAACTTTTACAACAAAACTATGAGAAAGTCCATAAATGTTTGCACGCTCCTTTAGTGAAAGGCTTGGGTTAGTCTTAAAACTGTTAACTAGTTTTTTAACTAGTTTTTTTATCTTTAAAACCCTTCTTTCTTCCACCACCAGATTTACGTTTGATCAATTTTGTTTGAGAAAAATGTTAGATTACACGACTAATGGTGGATGTATTTGCAATGCTTTTGCTATCGAATTGTAGCTACTATTGGGATTTTCCAAATATTTGTGCATAATTTTTTCTCTTATGTCTTCTTCTTTCATTTTTAAAAGTAATTTTGTGTTAAATCAAAAAAGTAATACATTTTTTTGAAACCACAAAAATAACACATTGTAAACAAAATACAAAACAGTTAAAAAGATTTTAATATAACCACTGAAAAAAAATGACGTACTTATCAGGCTTGGTTGGGAAGCGGGAGCGATCGCTCTCGATTGCTGACCAAAAATAAAAAAAGACGTAAATAATATTTAGTTGCGAAAAGCTGGCCAGATTTTTGAGTCGTTTTGAGAACATTTTAAATAGCAAAAAAAAAAAGCGCTAAAGATTAATTGGGCTGATGAGAGCCAATTACAAAAAAAAAAAATTAGGCAAATAAAATATTTTTAAACGCGAAAAAACTTAAAGCTTAATAAATTACGTTTGAACAAATATTTTTGAAACATCGCTTTTATAATTTTTTTATAAAATTAAGCGATGTTTTTTATGTAGAGTAACATCTTACGATTGTTTAAAAAGGAAACAAATATTCTTTATTAAACAAAGTGTGCAAGTTTTAGTTTTATTTAAGCTAAATTATTTTAAAAATTAAAAAGTTAATTTTTTTAATACCTATTTTATGTTTCGCGTAGTTTGAAAAGTTTAACATATTTGAAGCAATTCAAGAAGGAAGCTATGGAAATAAGATATATAACATATAACATTTTTTTTTAAATTTAAGAGTTAAATTTCACTTAATGATTATAGAAAAGATCAAAGTTTCAAAGTTATTTAAATCAAACTTTTTTACTTTAAAACTCAATTTAATATTAATTAATAAATAATAATTTAATACAGAACAGCCGTGGCGCAGTGGTAGCGCACTTGCCTCAGAAATGTAAACCCCATCTCTGGACAAGTTTTGCGACATCGGTTGGGAAGGAGGCGTGAACTTCTTATTAAATGCTCTTCCGCGGTGCTCTGTGATAAGACCGTAAGGACTTCTTGGGGCACCTAAATCAACATAAAAAAAAAAAATACTTAACAACAAAATTTAAAAACATCAAAACTTTATAATTTTTTACTATTTTCATCCAGAGTTGTCAGTCATTAGCTTAGGCCTCAGCCTTGTCTTAAGGCCAAAAACTAGGGTCTTGGCCTTGGTCTTGGCGTTGAAACTGTTAGGCTTGGCTTTTAAAATATTGGCCTTGGCCTTGAAAATTTTGGCCTTGGCCTTGATTGTTTTGGCCTTGGCCTTCAAAAAGCAATACATAAAATTAAAGAATTTAATTTTTTTATTTTTTATATTTATGTATTTTTGTTTTCGGCTTTCATATATATCTCATAGATCATCCAGGTCATATTTTAAAAATCTATAAAATTGTTTGGGTAAAATATCCAGAAAATATCCTGAATATATTTTTCCTTATTTTCCTCTTAATTTTGCTTTTAGCTGAGTTGTTTCCAATTTTATTTTCCTTCCTTCTTACTTCAGTTTAAACCTGTGACACAGTTATGATTTTCATATATCATTTTGTTTGTGTTTACCTTCTTTATTTTTTTATAATCTGATTTTTTTTATTGTGTTTATCTTCTTCATTCCTTTATTATCCAATGATAGTTAGTTGATTTAAAATAGTATCTCATTATAAAAGCCATTTCTGCATTACTTTTCAGTGGACAGTGGACTTTTATGATGTACTTTTTTTATGATGTACTTTTTTTATGATATAGAATAAAAAAACTATTTTATTTAATATTTTAATAAACTTCCAAGTTGCAAATACTACCCTATTTATAAAATGCTTATGTTTTGTATTCGAATAGTTATTGTGTATATAATATATTATGTTATATAAAGTATATAATATATTATATTATGTAAAGTATATAACATATTGTATTATATAAAGACAATAGCTATTTGACTAGAAAACAAATAACAGACAAGCAAGATATAAGTGTTTAATAAGTGTAATTAGTATTATTTTAAATTTGTAAATACTACGCTTTTTGTAATTATATATTAAAAAATATTTGAATTATTTTAAACATTTAACAGCTACTAAAACTAAAATAAAGTTACTTAATGTTTAAAATATTTTGAGGAATTTTTAATAAATATTTACAATTTGTCTAGGATATATATTTTTTATCATCTTTACTTACAACAAGGCTGAAAGCAACCACTAGTAGAGTTGGAAGTTACTGGAAGAGAAAATATAAATTTTAACCAGCAAAATAACGATTAACAGGCGACTTAAAAGATTGCAAATTTAATTTCAATATAAATTCCAAATTCATTATAATTCTAAAAAACTGATGTTTGAAGAAAAAAACAAGACAAAAAAAAATTTTGGAGCACTTAGGAACAGTCACAGTAAAAGGGGCTTAATTGAGTGACGAGTAACACAAGAATTAATTTTAGTACATAGCACAAGAGACACTAGCTCTTTAGAACAGTGCCCATAATAATATTTATAGGAAAGAGAAAGAGAAGTAAAATTACAACAATGTGATTATGGCTTTGGACTTTGGACTTTGGAGGTTGGCTGCAAGAGCAGGTCCAAGTATGTTTACAATACATTTTGGCACCTTGTCTAAAACTAAAAAAGGCATCTTTGGAATATCTGCTCCAGATATGGCAACAGTATTCCATACAAGGATGGATTTGAGATTTATAGAGATAAAGAATAAAATTGGGAGTAAGAAAGTGGTGAGCATGATAAAAAGATGCAACTTTAGCAGATGCTAATTTTGTAATCGATTTAATATATGGTTTATAAGAAAGATTAAAGTAAGAGGTAATCCTAGAAGATAAAGGGTAGATGACTCATTGAGTACATTACCCTTCATAAATATAGGAAGATCTAAATTATTAAGGTAACAATTAGCTAAAAAAAATTTGGTTTTATCTGAGTTAAAGTTCACCAGCCACTGAGAGCCTCATGCTGTAACAGAATTAAGATCCTTTTCAAACTCAAATGCCCCATTCGAGCAATCAGAGAGTGTTGGTTTCATATCAAGACAAGAATAGATGGTAGTATCATCAGTTAACAATGCCACCTCAGATGTGTGAATTTCTGGAAGATCGTTAATATAAATTACAAAGAGTATAGGGCCAAGGATAGAACTTTGGGGAACCCTTGAAGTTACAGAATATGAAGAATGCTGTCCATCAAGAACAACTTTTATACTATGATTGGTAAGGAAGGATTCAATAATCTTAAAGATGTTATAAGATACACCATAAGAAGAAAGCTTATAAAGATGACCAGAATGCCAAACTTTATCAAAAGCTTTATAAATATGATCAGTTGGAGGTTCGATTTCAATTAAAAAAACATCAACTAAACCACTCCATGTGTCAGTGTTAAAGTCAATAGGTATAATTAGTTTTGATTTGATTTTTGGTTTAACTTCAGGGTTTACTTCTCTTGATTGCCTTATGTGCAAAACTTGCTTAATAGCTTGAGTCCTTAAATCTTTTTTATCATCTTGCAACAATATAAAAAGTTCTCTTGAAGACAGCAATAGGAGTTCTCTTAAAGATTTTTAAAAACAATCTGTTGTATATTGTCTGTCTGATTTTTAACAAGCTCTATTATCTTTTGAAGAAGTCTAGGAGCATTTTTATAAAGACCAGATTTTTTATGGACAAACCACATGAGAACTTTATACTTTTTAGTTGTGCACAATTACAAAGTATATTGGAAAATATACTTTGTAATTGTGCACAACTAATCTGTAGGATTCTTCACTCTAGGATAAGTCATCATTATTCTTAAAGCTTAACCATCTGGTATGGTAAACAGGTCCTGATTTTTTCATTGAATTTTTTGGGGAAATAAAACCTTTAGATATTCTAATACAATATTCGTAAAGTTTACGTTAATCTGAACTATCAGATCAGAAAAAGTAACTTTTTCAAAAGAGAAAAAATAGAAACGCATTTAAAAATGGCAAACTTGTTGTTGTTATATCAATTTATAATGCGAAAATAATATTTTATGTTTCGTTCTGTTGTATTTTGCAATACTTAAATGAACCATAAAAATGTAATTTGTTTTGATTTTGTCAAAAAAATGAGTTTTTAATTTTTTTAAATTGAAAATAATTTTATTGAATATAAATAGAACATTTTCTAAAGTGAGCTGAGTGTTGACTATTTTTGTTTATCTTTATAGCATATGTTTTAAAAAATATAGTATGCATTTTTAAAAAAAGAAGGAAAAAAACCAAGAATAATGAAAGAAAAGAATGCTCCCCCATGCCAAACCCTCACTCACAGCACTCCGCTGTGAGTCAGGCTATTTATCAGTCAATGTATGTACTGAAGCCCCCAGTAGCAGGCTATTTCAGTGTGACATCAGAGTGCTCATCTAAACTAGCTATTTATGTTATATATATATATATATATAT